AAAAAATAAAAAAAAGCCCCCACGTTCTTTCACAACGGCATGCCAACCCAGATCCTACGAAGTGTTCCGCCACCGCGTGTAGACGCACACACACACTCACATACACACACTGTTTTACACTCACACACACACACACTCACATACACACACTGTTTTACACACACACACACACACTCACATACACACCGTTTCTACACACACACACTCTCTGTTTTACACACATACACACACACTCGCATACACACACAGTTTCTACACACACACTGTTTTACACACACACACTCACATACACACATAGTTTTTATTAATATACTCATTAATATTTTTTTCTCAATTAAACTTTTAATTAAAATAATATTTGACTTTTTTTTGTGAGAAAATTGTTTTGGTATTTAATTGGGTTTTGGTTGGATCCAATATAACCCATCAATAAGAAGACAACGAAAAAACTCTACAGAATGCTCTCTTCTCTCTCTTCCCTTGCGAAAAACCTAACCCTAACCCTAACCTAGATTGCTCGTCTGCCATGTCTGAACCAACGCCGGCGGACGTCGGCAGCAACGTTCCTCCATCAGCCTTCTCTCCATTGATGGATCCTATCAAACCCGTTGTTCGTACCTTCGCCCAGGTAATTACACCGGCTGCTCCGAAGCCACCACCTGTATGCTTCAATCCTATCAACCTCTCGCTACCACCTCAACAGTTTACATCTATTGAAGAGGCTCCAGCCGTTTTCTTCTCATCATTAGAGATGAATCTCACCTCAAAGCAATTTGAGCACGCATTAACCATGAAATTTTCCAGAGGTCGCCCGAGTCTCCATGATATCCGTACGAAAATATATCAATCTTGGAATCTCTCCAAAGAGCCTGTGATAAGTTTGATTGATCCTCGTCATATTTTGCTTATTCCAGCCGACTATGACGATATGATTATGCATGGCTTTAGCACGGGATTCTAATTCCATTGGCACATCTATGTTTCGTATTTCACACTGGACGAAAGATTTCAATTTCGATAAAGATAGTACAAGGGTTGTTGCATGGATCCGTCTCCCAAAGCTCCCCTTTTACTATTTTACTTTGCCTTACCTGGAAAGAATTGGTAATCAACTTGGCACTTTTCTCCGAACAGATGCAAGGAGCATCAATTTTCAAAATTTGATGTATGCTCGGTTATGCGTAGAAGTTGATGTTTCTACATACTTACCTCAAAGAATTTGGATCGGCGAATCGAAGGAGAAAGGTTTTTGGCAAAAAGTTGAGTATGAAGGTAACATTGCCTTCTGCTCACATTGTGGATTATTGGGTCACTTGAACAGTGATTGTAGAAAGAAACAACAGGGGCAACAACATAATAAACCTATAATCCCTCATGGTCCGTCGAATGGAATACGTCCGGAGCAGCATCAAGAATGGCAACAAAAGGATGGCCGCCTTCGCACCAAAGACAATGGAAAAAAGGTAATGCAAGATAATGAGGGGATACACCAATCAATCGGAGTTGTTTTGGAGAAAACCCCAACTCCACACTCTCATCTTCCAGGACCATCATATACTGACAAAAAAAACTCTGAAGATGTTAGTATCGAGAATCGATTCGAAGTACTGGAACATGAGAATGGGGAAGCGGTGGCTACGGGGGCCCGAATCACCCAAGACGCAATCAACGCTATTTTAGTGGAAGATGACACACTTACAAGTCCAAATGGCACAGCTTTTCAATGTATTGACGAGGTGAATCTGGGGCATTTGGTGGTTAAAGATGGGAATTATAAAACTACCGAAAATGAACTTATATCTAATATGGAATCTGGTTACATGGATAAAGGCTCGATCTCCGACGGGCAAACGCATGAAGATGAAGATAACGAATCTCAAACTTCGGAAGAAGTAGATAAGGTACGAGTTTCGGCAGCTGAAACTAACGTTCAAGCACTGGAATAAGCACCAAATTCGAAGAAAAAAACTAAATCTCCTACTAAGACCAAACGAAAGCCGGGTCGACCGAGAAAAGAAATTCATATCGAAGCAACACCGAACCCCGTTGTTTCTTAATGTCTGTTCTTATCTGGAACATTAGAGGTGCGGGGAACCCCAAATCCCTTCTATATCTTTTAAAGATAATTACACAACGCAAACCACAAATAGTTGCTATTTTGGAGCCTAAACAACAAGTTAATAAAATTACAAAAATTGCCCAGCAGATTGGGTACAAGAATTATACTCATGGAAACCCTCTCAATCCTTATATATGGGTTTTTTGGAGAGACGAGGTGAATTGGCAGACGTTGGAGATTCATCCTCAATGCCTTACTACGGAAGTGGTGATTCCTAATATTTTTTCTGGGAAGCTGACCTTCGTATACGCTAAATGCAATCGACAGGAACGACTACCTCTGTGGGATTATCTATCTCATCACAGTAGCGATTGTCATGAGCCTTGGGTGATTGGTGGAGACTTTAACGTTATCAAAACTCTAGATGAAAAGCAGGGAGGATCGAACGCACATATGACGGGGATGCAAGATTTTAATGACTTTTTAGTTGATGCTCGCTTAACAGATGCAGGTTTCGTGGGTAATATCTTCACTTGGAGTAATAATCAACGGGGTCAAAATCGCATTTGGCAAAGATTAGATCGAATTTTGTTGAACGCGGAGGCTTTCACTGCCATTTCGGCCAGAGTGGATCATCTCCCAAGGCTGGAATCTGACCACTGCCCATTACTTCTCAATTTTGGCCAGCTGCAAACTAAGCCATCTCGTTTCTACTTTCAAAAAATGTGGACGGAGCACCACAATTACCAAGAGTTCGTTGCCTCAATTTGGCAACAGATTATTCATGGCGGTCGTGCTAATTTTGAGAGTGAGCTGGCCAACCTTCGCAAGGCTCTTAGAAAGTGGAATTGGGAGGTTTTTGGGAAACTCGAGGATAATATTTCTTCCATGCAAAGTAATATAGCGGATATGGAAGCCCGTCTTTCCCATGCATGGGAAGATGATTTGTTCACAGAATGCCAAAAAGAAAAAACGGACCTCGTATAACAGTTAGAATGGGAGAATGCACTTTTGGCTACCAAAGCTCGAGTTAAATGGCTGGAGGAAGGAGATCGAAACACCAAATATTTTCACGCCCGGATCAAAGAGAGAAAGAAAATGAATCAGATTACCCTCAAGCTCGACGACGGTTCCTTCACGTCAGACTGTCAACTTATAGGGGCGAAAGCATTGGCCTATTTTGATGATCTTTTTCACGCTACTCCTTACCATCTTGATCAAGATCTGTTCTCACATGTGGAAGCTAAGGTTACTACAACAATGAATACTAAAATTTGCCAAATCCCAGACGAAGATGAAGTTTACAAGGCTATTAAAGAGTTGTCACCGGATAGTGCTCCTGGGCAAGATGGTTTCACAGGTTACTTTTATGTTCGATGTTGGAGTATAATCAAGGAAGATTTTATGCTGCTAGTTAGTGGCTATTTTCAAGGGGACTATCTCTCGAAATGCGTGTCCACTACTCTTCTCTTTCTTCTGCCGAAGGTTTCTAATCCGGAAAACCTTACTCAATTTCGGCCAATCAGCTTGGGAAACTTTGCTAGCAAGGTTATTTCAAGAATTATTGCTTCGCGATTAAACGCATTCCTACCACAGATAATTTCGGAAGAACAATCAGGGTTCTTGAAAGATAGGAGCATCCATGAATCGATTGTTATAGCGCAAGAATTGGTTTCGGATATTGATCGAAAGGTTGAAGGTGGAAATATTATATTTAAATTTGACATGTCTAAGGCCTACGATAGATTGGAATGGAGGTTTTTGCTTAAAGCCTTGCACGCCTTGGGATTTTCACATCCAGTGTGTGATCTACTATATAGATCATTTTCCAATATTTGGTATTCTATATTAATTAATGGGGAATCGTACGGTAATTTCAAATCTTCTAGAGGAGTTCGTCAAGGTGATCCCGTTTCTCCACTTTTATTTATCATCGCCCAAGAAATTCTCACTCTCAATATTAAACGATTGGAGGATCAAGAACGCAGTAAAAAGTATAAAGTCCGTCGAGGCTCTCTTCACATCTCCCATCTTTTTTATGCGGACGATATGCTTTTATTCACCAATGGCAGCAAAAAATCGATCACGAGATTAAGGCACATGCTAAAAAAATACGAGGATTCGTCTGGTCAGCTAATTAATTTGGATAAGAGTGGATTTTACACATCTAAGAGGATCCGAGATACTAAAATTCATCTCTTTAAAGAATGGACTGGCTGCATCCATAACTCGTTGCCGTTGAAATATCTCGGGGTTCCAATATACAAAGGGCGTTGTCTCGTGAAACATTTTGATTATTTGATCCAACAGGTTCAACATCGGCTGGCAGGATGGCAATCGAAGTTACTATCGTTTGGTGGTAGAATTTCACTGGTACGTTCGGTTCTTTTTAGCCTACCCACCCACACCCTTTCATCAGCCGTGGTTCCCAAGCAAACCATAGTCAGAATGGAGAGGCTTTTTCGTAAATTTTTATGGGGTAAATATGAAGGATCTGGGATTAATTGGATCAATTGGACGACTATCTGTCAGCCGAAAGATGAAGGTGGCCTTGGTTTTCGCTCATTGCTAGACACTAAGAAGATTATGGCGGGTCCTAGATGGTAAAACGCTTTGGGCTCGGTTCGCCAGAGCAAAATACAGGTATGACTTTCAAAGCCAAATTCCAGCTCATGCTTCTTTACTGTGGCGTGAATTATTCCCTCATCTACAACTCTTGGAGAATTGTAGTAGATGGATCGTGGGAAAAGGGGATATCGATTTTTGGAGAGATCGTTGGATCAACAATGAAGGTCTTGATGAAACTCAATCTATCTCTTTCAGGGAGGTTAAGGAACAGCCGCAACAATTTACTCCTCAACTGCAGCCGGAGCAACAAACGATCTTCGATATTATTCAGCTGGATGAGAGGGTTGATGATAGATTAATCTTCACAAAATCGTTTTCTGGGAATTTTAATGTGGCTGACTATTGGGAGTTGATCCGTTACAAAGCTTCTCCGAATCCTTTGGCGAAAAAAATTTGGCATCCTAAAATTCCATATAACATAGGTGCATTTTTCTGGAAATTGTCATATGGAGCGATCCCGGTGGACTTGGTTCTTCGAAGGCGGGGCTGCATGACTCCATCCAAATGTCGGTGTTGTGCTGCTCCCAAGCTAGAAAGTCTTTCTCATTTATTCCTTCAATCGGATATTGCTCGTGGCGTTTGGAGTAATTATGCAAGGATTTGGCAGAAACCTTATGTTTATGGGTCTATGCAGCATCTAATTCAAGTTTGGATGGTTGATGCTAGTATTAACCCTCAAGACGGTTTTATGGAGCTTGGTACTCTCATGTTTGGTTGTTGGGAGATCTGGAAAAGTCGATGCAGGGCAATCTTCGAGGATACTCCGATGAATACGACCACTATTACTCGAAGTATATTCTCACATCTTCGAGCTTTGAACGACGCTTTCTTGGGAAAACGCCCAATGAAACTGATGGGGCGACTCATAATCCAACAATTAAATTTGGAGGTTAAGTCACCTCCATTGACTAGGGGCAGCTGGATAAAGTGGAACCCTCCGAATCCACTTCAAGTCAAGGTCAACGTGGATGGCACAAGAAAATGGGATGAATGTTCCGGGGGTGGGTTAATTCGGACTCACGATGGATCTTTTATTCGAGGCTTTTCTAATTTTTACGGTCAAGGTACACACATTCTTGCAGAAGCCCAGACAATTCTCGATGGGCTGCGAATTTGTGATGAGATGGGTTTTACACAGGTTAAAGTGGAGTCAGATTCCAAATTAGTTATCGACATGATTTATCATAAAGCCACAGTTGCATGGGAGTTAATTTACGTCATCAAAGGCATTAGAAGACTTCTCAAGGACGATTGGCACGTGATGCATATTAATCGAGAGGGTAATCGGGTGGCTGATGGTTTAGCTAAGTTGGCTCATGAGCACAGAGAGAGGAAGCTATTTAAAGTTGTAAACGAACTTCCTCGGTATATTAGACCTTTATTACTTCACGATAGGATTGGAATTCCTCAGTTTCGTAGATTTTCAAGAAGCAAATGAGGGCTCAAATTAAAAACAAGGCAGGCTGGTGGAATTGGCAAGCAAATGCATTTGTACTAGCAGCTTGGGTGGGGGTCATACTAGCAATTTCAGCAAATATTGTGATAATGATGGTGAATAGGAAGAGCAGTGTCCGACAGGGGATAATGGAAGTTGGCAAAGAAGATATTTTGGATAATTACATTAGTGGCAACAAATGGGGGCTGTTATGCTATTTTCATTTTTTTAGCTTTATTAGGCAGCTTTATAGTTTATTTCATTTTAGCCCCATTTTAGGGCCTTTTTGTATTAGAAAGGTTAGGGTTGCCCCAGGCTTTTTATTACCATTGTAGGGGTACTCTTTTACCTTGTGTAGGCCCACAAGGTTTTTAACGAGGCCCCAAGTCTTTCGATAATAATGGAATAATAAAGTTTTTTCGGCCACCAAAAAAAAAAAAAAATTACCAACTTTATTTTGTTGTTAAACTTTCAATGGATCTAAAGTGGATCCACATGGATCCAGTTTAAAAAAAAAATCAACTTGATCCGATCCGGTTTGTTTCAACTAGACTTACTCTAAACTGGATCCTTATGGACCGAACCGGATCTAATCGGATCCATGGAACCGGATCCAAATTGCCACCCCTAATTTACAGTAATATTACAATAATAGACAATAATATTATTACGTTACTCCGTGAATAACTCAAACAACACAAAAAACCCAAAAAAATAATAATATTGATGTGGTTGACAGTAATATAATTGTGTTTGCAGTTATTTTACTGTCAACGACAGTAATATAATTACTTTGACTTTTCAACAAATCAAACAAAATTAAAAAAAGTAACAAAAAAAGAATAATAATATTACGTTAATTTACTGTGAACGGCAGAACAATTACATAAATGTATTGTCAACGGCAGTACAATTACGTTAATGTACTGTCGTTAACAGTATAATTGCGTTAATTTAATGTCGGTGATAGCACAATTACGGTCAACGTTTAGCGGCGGACGTAAAAAAAGAAAATAATAATAATAATAATAAAAAACACACACACACTAAAAAGACACTAAAAAAAATCAACGCCGGAATCCGGCGGCGGAAAAAAACAGACAAAAAAAAAGTCAGCGCCAAAGACCGGCGAAAAAATCCGGAAGAAAAAATAAATAAATAAATTCAAAAAGTCAACACCAGAATCCTGCAGCAAAAACAAAATTGAATAGAAAAATCAAAATTCAATTTTTGTGGTCAAAATTGGATTTTTGTGAACAAAATTGATTAAATTGGAGTTACAATTAAGAATTGGGTATAAAGGGTTGGGGGTAATATTGTTATATAAATCTTTCCTTTATTTATAATATATATTAAGGGATGGGCTTATTAGTGAAAAAGATACAACTGAATAATAAAGATGTTTGGTTAGGGACCTATGCACAAAAACTCCAATATATATTAGCTTTTGATTTTTTAAAATAAAATATCCTACATTTACTAAAATACGTCCTGCATTTGTCACCACTCTTTCTTAAATCCCATTGAAATTTTCACCACCACCACCATTGGCAATCACCTCGTTATGCCGCCACCTCCAACTGATGTAAGAACATGTCTTCCCTTAATTTGTTTTTATTCTCCATTGAAGTCGCCACCACCACCACCTCTGGCAATCACCTCTTCACGCCGCCACCTCCGCCGGCCCCACCTCTTTCCTTCCACAACATGTGTCCTCCACTCTTCTTGCCGCAAACACCAGTCCACCGCCAACTTCACCTCGCTGCCGCCTCCCATTCCACCTCCAACTTTCACCATAATTACCTCCTCTCCGCCGTCGCCTACGGCGGCGAGGAGCTGCAGAAATTGAGCTCCTCGTGAGCTTTGTCGGAACTCGGAAGTAAGTTTGCATGTGATAGAGTTGAGAGAGTGGTATATATTGCGGCACAAAGCGGTGGCTGTTTGGTGTCCCTTGCCGTGGACGATGGTGGGAATTGGTGGTGGTTTTGTTTGAGAATATTAAATATATTTTTTTTTTTAATTTATTACTTATTAAAACAAAAGGAAAAAAAAAGAAAAAAAAGAAGATGGTGGCTATTTTAATTTGTCATTTCCCTGCAACAAAAGGAAGAAAAATCACAGAAACCGCACGTGAGACACACGATTTGCGACGAGAGGGGTTTTCATCTTTGACTAATAAATACAGGGGTTTATTTGCTATTTTTTTTTTACCTCATTCTTACGATTTGCTTTGACGAATTTTAGGACACAATGACAGGAGGAACCGACACTACGGCTATAACACTTGAATGGGCAATGGCCGAACTTATGAATAACCCGGATGCAATGAGCAATGCGCAGAAAGAATTATCGGAAGTAGTGAGAGTGAACAACATTGTTGAAGAGCTTCACATTCCAAAATTGAAATATTTGGAAGCGGTTATAAAAGAAACAATGAGGTTACATCCAGCAATACCTCTCTTGATTCCAAGGTCTACTTCGCAATCTTCCACCATCGGAGGATATACAATCCCGAAGGGTACTACGGTCTTTATAAATATTCGGTCTATCCAAAGAGATCCTTTGATTTGGGACAAGCCATTGGAATTTCGGCCGGAGAGATTTCTTGGCGACACGGTTGAGAAATGTGATTATAGAGGTAACTATTTTCATTATCTACCGTTAGGATCGGGAAGAAGGATTTGTGCCGGGATGCCCCTTGCAGGGAGAATGCTGATGTATTTGCTGGCTTCATTTTTGCATTCCTTCGATTGGAAATTAGGACAAGGGGAAACACTTGATATGTCCGAGGCGTTTGGGATTATCCTAAGGAAAGGTACACCGTTGATTGGTGTTCCAAGTCCTCGGTTATCTATTTTAGACCTATATGTGTAGTCACACGTACGTTGGTTAAGAATAATAATTGTTGCGGTACTTTCGTTCGGTTTCTGTGATTTTATTGCTAAGTACTGTTTTGTTGTTATGTAATTTTACTATGAAGTTTGATTTCACCGATGCACATGTACGCGTGTTGGTGCAGATATGGCTATTGCCTACTTGTTTATCATCTACGTGTGATGTTGTTGGTAATTGTCACCTATCAAAATTGACTCCTATTAAGTTTCTACTACTTCCTTATCAAGAAAGACCTATGAAATCAATAATTTCGTACAACATTATGGGGGACAAAAATTGGGAACAAAAGAACAAAAAGACAACTACGAACAAGGCCGAGATCTGAGAAATCTCCAACATCATTTTCTTCTCTTCTTTAGAACTATTTTATATTTTTTTTGATGTTTTCAGTGGGATTAAGTCGTAGCTAATTTTTCATCTAGATTTTGTCGAAACCCTATTATGTGATTTTGAACCTACTTTTCTAATACTAGATAGGTGCACTTGCATTGCAGGTGTCGTGTTAATTGAATCTAATTCAATAACCTTTTATATATACTTATTCACTACAAGAAAACAAATATTTTGCGAGGATAAAATTCATCATGAAGTCTTGTAACGATTTTGTTTCGTTACCTTGTTTGTCCTCTAAAGCCCAACGCTAGAAGTATTAGAAACAAGTATCCCTAATTCGTTACGAATACTAGTGACAAAGAACCATTCGTTACAATAGGTCCATTACAAATAACAAAGTTATCCTCCCTAAACATTTTTTTATTCTTACAAAAGACTCATTCGTCACCACTACTTGTTTTTAATATTCGTGTTTTTTGCAAGGACCACCCTTGTGTACTCTCGAATTGCCGAAAAAACCTCTGTGTTAAAAAAAATTAGCACAAACCCCCCTATGGAAATTAGTCAAAGGCAATAAAGATCCTTCGAGCTCGACGTGCGATACACTCACGGGTTGTGCGAGTGGGCGTGCGGTTTTTGGACATGAAATGACCCAAATATCCTTTAAATTCATTTAAATTAGAAATTTTGAAAATTACGAAATCACCCCAAAGTGTTCATATGCCCAGAACGACGTTTTCAAAAAGTTTAATTCAGTCCCTAGTGTTTTCAGAACTGCCCTCTTCAACCTCAAGATTCCGCCTTTCCTTTCTGGCCCCAAAAAATCGTCTTTGCCACACCATTAATTCAGAAGATTTGGACCATAAACATCTCAGGCCCACATCTGCAGCTATAGAATTATCCATATTATCAGGAATCACAACTCACCGCACTGAATTTCTCCCTCGACATTCTGTAAAGTCTCAACTGTGTTTAGCCTGAATTTAGCACACACTTGGGTGTCCCACTTTTTGTAGCTCTGAATAACTCAAAAACACTTTGAATTAGTTTTCTAAATGAAGAAGTTTATTGGTATTGGTGCGGACTGCGGCGGTAGAGGTCTGAATAGGGGTGCAAGTTGGAACGGAATTTCCAATTTTCGTCGATTTCGATCCGAAAAGTTCCGATTCTGGAACAACTTTTTTCATTCCGGCTTCCGAAATTCCGATTTCCGATTTTTTTTTCCGATTTTTTTGGATTGTAATTGGAATTATATAAAATATATTTGGAATTTCCGATTTCCGATCCGATTCAATTCCGAAATTAATTCCGAAAAATTCCGATTTTTTCCGAAAAATACACCTATAAATAATATATATTATATAATACTTATTTTCCAAAAATACACCTATAAGTTTTGTTTTAGGATTTTGACATAATGAATTTTTGTTAGAAGTTTTATTGGATATTATACTGTGTTTATTTTTAGGGATATGATAAATATATGTCGTTCGAGCTTTAATACTACCGTTTCGACTTCAAACGTGATTTTGATCATTTTTAATTTCAAATTTTGCAAAACTCTTTGATCTTAGTTTTCAGACCTTTGAGATTAACACTCTTTGATCTAAGTCTGAAAATTACAAAAAAACCACCCCTCACAGTTTAAATAATTATTAAAATAAAAATTGTGTCTGGCGTCGTGGACTATGTTTTCTCGTTATCTTGATTTTTTTATTTTTTATTTTTTGTTTTTTATATTTGTTTTTTTTTGTTTTTTTAATTAATAATTATTT